GATGAAGCCGTCGAGAAATGTCGTTGGCGCAAACAACTGCTTGGTCCCCGCAATGTTGGCCAAGCTCAAGTTGTACGTCGATGCTAGCTCTCTGGCGAGTGCGATGACACCGGCCGCCGGCGTCGTTGCTGATGCGATCAGCGTCGCCCGCCGCGCCAAGCACGACGTGAGATGCGGAAACAACTGCGCGCGCCACATGGCCATGGCGGCAGCGTCGCTTGGTGATGTGAGCGGGTTGAGCGACGACTTGAATTGGACGTTCACAAACGTCTCGAGGGACATGCCTTTGAGGCACAGCACGGCCTCGGCCACGTCCTGGAGGCTCCCAAACGAAGTGGTTGGCGGGACGTAGCTGCGGATGAGCTCGGTGCCCCAGAGGTTGAAGCCGCTGGCGCTGAACGCGGACAGTGCAGCGTTGAAAGCGGCGACTTCGGCGGCGCCATCGAGCGACCGACGCAGCGGTCGTCCGTCGAGGTCCATTTGGTACACGGTCTCGGTGCCAGCGTACGAGCCGGCCCAGGTTCCGATCGAGCGCGGAAGGATCTTGAAGTCCATAAAGACGTTGAGGTAGCGCGTCGCAGTGAGGGGTGTTGCGAGGGGAATGCCGGCGTTGGTATAGAGCTGGGTGAGAAACTTGCCGTTGAGCACTGTGTCCCAGTTGAGGTTCACGATCGTCGTCGTCGTTGTGGGCACAAAGCCATAGCGCGAGAGGAACCACGCTTTGAGCGGCGCGGCAGCGTTCCAGAGGCAGCATACATAAAAGATAATGCGCTGCATGCGTGCACTGCGTTGATAGCGGATTCGAACTGGCGCCGCGTTGGGTTCGGTCAATGGGGCGACCGTCGTCCAGGCGAGGCGCATGCTTCGTGGTCGAATCCGCTTGAGCCGGATGGCGTGCAGGTTGACACGGCTATATTTGAATGAAACTCCAGGTTCAATTACATGTACATCCTCTGGTGTCGTCGGGCGTCTTTTGGGTTGGATATTTCAAACGATGGTGATGATCACTTAGGTACGCGAACCAAATTCGCTGCAGACGTGTCTGTGCTGCAGACAGCGTCTAGAACGAGAGGTGTGGCACATGTATGAGCGATTGCAGAGTCGACGAAGAAAGACCGTCGATTGAAGCCAGAGAGCTTATTGCAGATTCTTATGGCTGTTTTACGCCCGCGTAGCGTCGGCGGCGATGCGATGGAGTCGTCGACAGCGTTCGTCGAGTGGAGGCCGACGATATTTGGTTTCACAACCGAACGACATGTGACGTGATTTTGGCCAATCGGACGCGAGATGCTGAAATGGCGGCCTGTGATTAAAAGGGGCGTTTTATTTTAACATGAACATTTTTTGTTTATACACCAGCGGCCGAGGAAGCGATCGACTGCGTCAGTGACTGCATAAGAGGAGACCCGAGATGCTGCAGCTAATGGTCGATTGGCCGAAGTGAAGCGGCTCGTGGAAGAAGAAGGCGTGAATCCCAACTTCACATGGCGTGTGTGGACACGGCAACGATCACAGCGACACAAACGTTCGGAGGAGATTGTGGTAGCCGAGCGGCTCACCATGATACAGAAAGTAACTTCGAGATCGCGATGAGTGGGCCGGCAACTGACATGCCCTCGATGGCATGCGAGAGGAGGAGCGCGTATGGCGGCGTCACTCGCGGTCTGCCGTTCGTTGTCGGCCATTGCCGTTCGTTGTCGGCCATCGTGGCGCGCTGATTGCTTGCGCTGGAGTTTCGAAAGATCGACAAGCCGAAATGAGCAACGGCAGACGTCTGAGCAAGGTGGGTTGCCGACGCGGCCAAATACAAATGACGGCAGTACCAGCGTGACCGCCGCAGCTGACGCAGCGTACGGCTGCCAAACGACGTCCCCGAATGCCACGTCATATTACCCACGCTACACACGTCATGTGTACAACGTGTGATTTGCATTGTCCGGATCCGGATATCCTGTCAAGGATCCCAGTTTTCCCCAACGACATTGGTAGGGCCGTTGCACGCCCGAGTAACGCTAATGCTATGGAGTCGTATACGGCGCTTGTCGATGAGGTCTCAACGCCAACTCGCCACGCGCGCCGCATTCAACGATATTTTGCTCGCTACGACGCCACCGCTGGTGATGACGACAACGACGTCATCCTCGAATACGCCCACGTGTGGAGCTCCCGCCAACATCTCTGGCGGCTAGCACACGCTACAAACGAACCGGCATTGCACAATGGTATCACCGCCCGTTTTGATTTATGCTTATAATCGAGGCGTAGCCTGTCGTGAAGGCAATATTGATGCTGTAAATCGCTTGCTGAACGATGGAACGTGTGCACTCTACCAAGATGGAACGCTCTCGACTGCCCTGCACGTCGCTGTGACCCATGACCACGTCGCGTGCGTCGATCGATTGGTGCAGGAGAGAGATGCCTCTCTGCAGCTCCATGTCCAAAACCATCGGGGCGAGACTCCACTCCATGTTGCGCTGGTAAAATTGCATCCTTCAACAACAATGAAGCAACATGCGATCGCGGGGACGGCTAGAAGCGGAAAAAATACGTCGCGGCCGATGCAATACTGCCACATGCCTCTAAGACAACGCTACAGCTATTGGACAACGACGGCTGGAGCATTCAAGCGCTGGACGTCCATCAGCGGTACACCCCAACATTTCTTTTCATTTTTTGTGATTTTTGAGCCATGTATTTTGCTGTAATGACTAGGGGGTGCCTCTACGAAGCGTGCTGCAATGGCAACGTCGCGCGTCTGCAACACTTGTCTACCACGTACAAGCTGGTGCTTGATGCCGTGTTGCCCGAACTCCAATGGAGCTTGCTGCATCAAGGTTGCTTCAACTACTTTCATGCGCACGATGGACACATACATTCTGTAGCATGTCTGTCGATGCACATAAATTGCGTGCAGTACTTATTGACGCATGTGCCGCATCTCATGTTTCACGCCGATCAGTCGGGCGCGACGCCGCTGCATGTGTGCGCAGCCCACGGCTTCCTCGAAGGCATTGTTTTGCTTTTGGACGTAGCGATAGCAGCCTCGACTCTTCTTCAACTGCTGTCGGCTCTTGATGTCAACGGTCGCACGGCCCTGCATATCAGTCTCTTACGCCGTCAACTTGGCATCGCGATGTACTTGGTCACGACGAGTCAGATCCACGGCTTCGCAGCCACCGACTTTTTGGCCCTCGACGATACCGCGCAATACACGGCACTGCATTACGCCGCGGCGATCGGCGCCAATGAAATCGTACGGGCTTTGATTGACGCCGGCGTCAACATTGAATACGGGGTACCACCTACTACCTTCTTGGAGAAGAAGAATGAGCCGGACCTCGCCGCCGCGCCACGACGCCGGGCACAGCTCGCTGCCACGTACGCTCTCGACTCTCCATTTGACTGGAACGGTGTCATTTGTTTTGAATAGAACGCTGCAGGATGTGCAACAGTCGGTGATTGAACTCAAAACGTTGTGGTTCGCAGTGCACGGCTGTGAGCGATCGCCGGTCGGTGAGGCCCCATCCGTCACCCGCTTTCGCCATACCAAAGATATCAACACTGTACGGACCGAGGACACGCCGACGACACCGCTTCTTGTGGCGCTACGCGGTAGCCAATACGAGACGGCGCAACTTTTGCTCGACGCCGGCGCCGACGTTGGGCATGGGTTCGATCCTCGTTGACGTCGTCGTTCGGGCTCATGTTCGTGTACCAATAGCGCCATTACAAGCATCTTTTTGGAGCATCCTCAAAGTCGACCACTGCTGACACCCTTTGCAAACCAGTGGTTGGCATCACCGATGCCGTTTGATGCTGCCCGGCGCATACCAGTTCTCGTCCAGAGTGTCTGCAAGCGACAGGGCCGTGAAGCCGATGTGTGTGCACTCCTAGCGCTGTACGCGACGATTCAGAAGGAGGATGCGCTTAGCAACGATGCAACCTGTCTGGTGCTGGCGCTGACACACGAAAAGCTAGCGCTTGCGAGCTGCTTGCGAACGCTACGCGTGCCATGGCCATCTCAGGTACGATTCTTGTGCCAAGGCACTGTTTTGACATTGTATTTTAAAGCCAGTGTTTGCGTAGGTCTCGCTGCTTTGTATGGCAGCATGGACCGCAAGCCTTGACAGTGTCGAGTGGCTCCTTCAACACAACTATCCGATCGACGCCAAAGACAGACCCGCGTTGGAGCAGGCGCTCACGATGCAGGGCCATCGGTGGACCTCGCGTGCTTTGCGCGAGCACGCGCGCCGAGCAGCAATTGGTTCCCGCCTCTTAACCCACAACTCGTATCTCGGCCAGCTTGTCCGTAGCAACTTCTCAAAATGGGTCGTTTGAAAATTGCGTGTGATTAGACACCATTGCCCTGCCTTCGGCGCGCGATCCAAGGCGGCTTTGTGGACGCCGCCCTCGCTCTCCACCAACAAGCTTCAGTTGCAATTGACACAAGCGACCTTGCGCCGGTCGCTGACGCCACTGTGGTACTGGCACTGCGACCACCGTGGGCACTCAACTGGGCGTGCTACGCCAACGTGCCCCTGGCCAATGTGCGAAGTCTAATTCAACGCCAATCACGCCTCCAACGCGGCCTCTTACTGCGAGGTACACTGCACAATCGCACCACCCAGTACTTTCTTGATGCAGCATGGGAATGGTAGGTAGACCTGCTGCGAGCTGGGCCGTCCAGTTTCAGCGCCTGGACATTCTGCGCGTGCTTCTCGTGCTGGAAGGGCCTTGGTGCTTGCACGAGCTGGATGCCAAAGGTAGTATCAGGGAGAAATGCATGTGGCAACTAAGTTTTAGGACTGTAGGCCGAAACATACTCTACTACGGTGCCCAGCAGCCGAGCACAGAGCTACTCGCTTTTCTATGGCCGCATCTGCAAAATGCGTCAAGCTCGGTCTTGCTTCTCGCAACCGCCATCAAAGCCAACCAGCTCAACATCGCCCAGTGGCTCGCATCAAACACCGATGTTTGCTGGCGCGACCCAGTGGTATAGTTGAATATCGACAAGTTGTTGATGCGACATGCCTAGTCGACGCGCCGTGACACGCTGTTGCACGTGGCGTGTGCGGCTGGCCACCTCGGTCTCGTGCAATGGCTCGAAATTGTCGACCCCGACCTGGTCTCCATGGCCAACGACGACGGCTACGTGCCGTACGACTACCTCGCGTACATACATTGTCGTCTCTCGAAACACTGACAATCCAGTGGCGTAGGTTCTTTGGGTATCCCATGGGAACTTCTCGCCGGCCTTCTTATCCCGCTGTGATTCGTCCACGCTCGCTGAAGCTCTTCTTTACCGATGCGTCCACCCAGCCTTCCTGGCGGCCTCTGCTCGGGGCACTACGGAGTCTCCTTGCCGCTCCTGCCAGCGTAATGTCTCTATCTCGCTACGTCAACAACACTGTTTGAATGCGTAGACGGCGCTGCATTCGATGCCCCATCGGTGCACCGATGGCTACTACCGAGTACATGCGGCCTGCGGGCGCAACGCTGTCAGGCATCTGACGCAGCTAGCGGCCCACGGCCTCTCGCTGGTCGCCCGAAGCAAGCGTTTTCACAATCTGACACCGCTGCAATACGCGGCGCGACGGTACAAAAATCCCACTACGATGGCAATCAGATCTGATTGGGTGGCGTCGATAGGGGTGCAATCGATGCGATGGAGTGCCTCCTTGACCATGACGTCGTCGATACAGCGTGGGCTGACGGCAATGCGCTCTACGAAGCCGCCACCAAAACCACGCGCCAGCACGCCGACATTGTCAAGCGGTTGCTCTCGCTGCCTGTTGTCGATGCTGAAACGTACCTTGGGCGGCTCCGCGGCGATGGATCAACACCGACACTGCTCCATTATGTCGCTCGGTCGCCGTACGCGCAAGGCGTCATCGACTGCTTGCTCGATCGATATCATGCCGAGATTGACGTGGTGGTACGATTTGATTGGTCCATTTTCGAAAGAGTGAAAGGTTGAAACATTGAGAGATAGGATCCCAAGGGCTGCACGCCAGTGCAGTATGCGCTCGTGAGCGGCGCGACGCGAACGTTCTTGCATCTGATTCGGCGAGGTAGAATCTTTCCAGAAAAGAATGACGATGCCATGGATTTAGGCGCTCGATTGGAAGCCGAATACGAAGGGCAGTCGGCGTTCTACTACACGTTGCAACTGCTCCCGTCGGACGTTTGGCGCCTCTTTTTTCAAAGTATGTACTCCATTCCACGATGTTGTCACCCACATCTCTAGTCTTTCTGAGACATGTCCTGCACCGGCGCTACCTCCATTGCAGCGACGCTACATGTGGCTGCAAATCGTTCGACCAGCATCCGACAATGGTACGCGCCTCGCAGTTGCTTCTTGTAGCAAGTGGTGAATAGGACACAATGTGCCAATTCTGCAACCATGAGGCCGAGATGCATACCGTCGTGCCACTACCGCCGTGGTATCGCGACCAGATGGACACGTACTCGGGCGCGCCGGCGTCGTCGCAAACACCGGCGCACTCCGACCGCGACAACGACGACGACGACGACGACGACGATCCCTTTCGAGCACCGTCCGACGACGAAGCTATCGAGATGGTGCGCGAGAAAAGTTAGTGTAGGACACGACGACTCTCGTCGCCACCGACGTCGGTCGTCTGGCTATGGCGTGGATACCTCGTATACTACGCGTGCAGCGCCGGGAAGAAATTGCGCAGTGGGCACTGCCGTTGCCGCCCCTACCGCCAGTACCCGCCGACGACGACGATGCTGACGCCAACGTCACCGGCGCCGTGTCGACCACGACGACGAGACGTCCACACGAGGCAGAGGCCACGGTGACGCCGACCGACGAGGTATTGAAGCTCGAGACCACAGGCGTTCACACGTCGCTGGTGGACACCATCGATGGCTACCACGGCCGTGCGTGCACCTGTCGCAATCGTTTGACTGCTTTTGCGCCGCAGCTGCGTCTCCGCGCCGCGTTGTTTTCGTGGATGGAGCACTGGCGTCGTGGAGCGGCCGTGACAACTGTTTTAAAGGCGTGGCAAATGTGGGCCACGACACCGACGGTGATGCCCAGCAGCTTCTCGACGCCTGCGCACGTCAAGCTCCGGCTGTTTGTGTTGCATTGGCGGGACGCTCGCGTCGTCTGGGCGTTCTACGCCTGGAAACACAAACATCGAGGACCGACGTAGATATAAGCTAGAGATCTTACTAGAATCTCAAAACCAACGCTTGGACGTACTTTTCTGGCTTCTACATGCTCCGTCAGAGTATATACTAGTACCTTCCAAGCCATGAGCGCTTTCAGTGCGTACTCAAAACCTCATGTACCGATACGATAGAGGTCAAACGTGGACAACGATTGCCTACTCACTAATGCGTCGTCCCGAATTCTACTAGTAGGCCAAGTTCGTATGTGGCGCAAGTGGCAACCGTGCAGTTTGATGACTAGATTTAACCAAGGTTGGCCCGGCGGTGCGTGCCTTCGTACGCAGCTAAAAAGTCTTCGAGGTCGACAGCACCGAGTTGTTTGCGATCTTTGGCCAGAATCCATTCCTGAATCATGTCGTCGTCCACGTCAGTCCGGCCTTGTTGACAAAAGAACGTGCGCAGGTCCCGGGCCGAGACCTTGCCGTCGCTGTCATAGTCGTATGCCTCAAAAAGCCGGCGCAGTTGCCGCCGCTGCTCGACGTCGCCGGTCGTCCCGCCCAAGCGATAGCTACCGCTTTCATACCCGGTTGGCGGTGGTCGGTACAGCTCGGTCGTCGGCATCGACGGCCGTTGGACTTGCGACGCTGGAGGTTTGGAGGCTTTTCCTGACGTCGGTGTCGCGTAATGCTTGACAAAGTCAGCGAACGAGACATGGCCGTGGCCGCTCGTGTCGTGTTCGAGGAGCCACTGGCGAATCTCAACGTCACGCAGTTGGCGGGATGCAAGGGCCTTTCGCAAGTCGGAAAACGAGAGAACACCATCGGCATCGGCGTCATACTTGTCAAAAACAGCTCGGAGCGTCTTCTCGTGGTGGGTTGGTTGCGGCATCAATGTGGTAGGTTTGGCAATTGGTGGCGGTTGGCGTTGAATATGTCGTGGGCGGCGACGGGCCTTGACGTCGCTGTCGTCACTGCTGCCGCTGTCACTGCTGCTGCTACTCGCATCCCGACGAGCGTGCTTGGACAGAGGCTTCTTTTTTGTCGACTTGACGTTGGTCTTGGGGACCGCTTTCATATCGTCGCTGTCGTCGCTGGACGAATGATGCGAGTACAAATCTTCTTTTGAGGGAGTCGCTGCGCTTGCAGCGGCCATAAGCACCGGTGCACGTGTCTGTATCGTGTCGACGTCGTCGACGATGGCATTGGACACCACCGACGTCGACGGCAACGGCACCACCGGGTGTGTGGGAAGCGCTACGGCGTCTTGCAATGCTTCGTAGACGTGACTCACGCAAAGTGCAAAGTCGGAAAGGCCAATCGCACCTCGCCAGAGCTCGGCGCGCGATGTCTCTACAATCACGTCCTGCACCTCGTCTTGTATGGTAGCAAGTGCCGGTGCGAGCATGCATAGCGCCGGGTACACGGACGATAATGGCATCGTCGCGTCGGTTGCCGTTGCATGGAGCGAAAACACTGCTTCGCACGCTTGAAACAGCGGTTTTGAAAGGCTTTGCCAGCAGCTTGACGTGGGCCCTCGCGCATGCTGCAAGATGTACACGTGGTTGGGCCGACGGGTCATCTGCGACAAGAGCCCCGAGAGGTCGGCGTACAGCTGCACAAACGAGCCAAACGACGGGAGAGGGTCGGCCGGCACACCGCCAATGTGCAAGCGCAACAGTGCCTGCTGGTACTGCTTCGGGGTGCACTTGATTCGACACGCCCAGAGTGCCGGTAGCACTTCGTTCTCGCGCCGAATCGCATCATACGATGCCTTTAGGATCGCGATGTGGCTGCCCATGGCTTCGACGAGTGCTGCCATCGACACGGTCGGACGCCGGGGCGGCGATGCTGGCGCCGACATCTCGAGGTCCACTGCGATCACAACGCCGAGCGTGCACCATGGCGATGCTGTAAGCGCTCGTGTTGCCGCGAGCGCGCGCGAGTTGCGCGGGTTGATGCAGAAGGTCCAGCGCGCTTTGGACGAAGCCGCGTCGGCGAGCTCGATCAGTCGACACTCGGGCAGTTGCAAACCCACTGCCTTGCAGAACGACTGGACGACGTCGTGCACTGAGAGTGTTTGCGATGTTGGCAGCTCGGACACGGGCGACAAGACGACACGCGGCCAAGAAGTTGTTGTGTCGTCTGAGTGCGTCATTGGTTTTCGAGGCGGTGGCGACGGACTGTTCTTCTGTGGGGACCCTGGACGCGGTGGGATCTCGATCGTCAGTGCCGACGGCGTCGGCAGAGGACGCGTCGACGATGTCGTTGACGTTGGCGAGGATGGCACCGATCCTGCTGTAGCTGCGGTGATCCCACTGGACCACTGTCGCCAAAACATCGTCACGTCGTGGTCGAGCGACTTGCCCTGCGGCAGTCGCCCCGTCTGATGAAATGTTAGGACCCAGTGCGGAAGGTTGCCGGTCGTTGCCAGCTGCTCGGCGAGCGGCTTGTGCCACTTGGAGAGACAGGCGATGAGTTGCCATAGCCGCACCTCCCGACGGCGCGAGAGCCATTCGGTTGCATACTTGGTATATAGCTTGGCCATCTCGACTGGAATCGTCGTGTCGACGGCGTCGGTCACGGTAGCCAGCACCAGTTGCAACCCGAGGTTCGTGTCGGCGCTGAGGCTCCAGTCCAGCACAATGCGACGGCAGGCGCCGCTCGCCACAATCGCGATCGGGACGTTCGCGTCGGTCGCACGCATCCACGCCCGCCACACCAAACGCACCAACGCACTGAGCGTCGGATCAAGCAGCGTCGTCACCGACGCCGGTGTCAGTGTTGAGAGCCATCGGTGGCTCGCTGCCATCGTCGACACGATCGATACATGCAACGAGACGACGTGCGACGGCAGCGACGGCGACGACGCTGTGTGCGTGGCCATAACGTTCCAGATACCGCCGACCGCAGACGTCAACGCCCGTTCTAACACCGGCGGCACTGGTGCCAATGTCGCAATCTCCTCGAGGACGGCGACACTGGCCAACACGACGTCGATTTGATCGGACGTCAAGCGCGACGGTGTCCGCAAGGCGACTTGGGCCCACGCCCGATGCATCCATGGGACAAAACACTCGATCAATTGCACAAGGTCGGCAAGCGGATCGCTGTCGTACGTCCTGTAGTAGCCATACGTAGCTTTCAGCTCAAGAAGCAGCGCCCGTTGCTCTTGAAATGTGCCGTTGTACGCGTCAATGTCCGTGCCCCGGTGCACGAGGTCGTCGAGCGTCGTCGGTCGTGGCCCTGGCAGCAAATGTAGGTGGTGCTGGCTCTGAAGACGGTCCAAAATGCGGCGAAAAGCGCAGTCCGCGTCGGGCTTGGCCATCGGTTGGCACCGCAACACATGCGGGTACGCGGCATCGTGGTACGGGCGCAGAAGCAGCGGTGGCATCTACGGTATAGCATCGAATCTTGGGCGATGCTTCGATTCGAGTACCTTGTGGCGTCGAAGAAACCGCACAATGTGTGCGGACGGCCAACAGCGCGTGAGCCGCGCGCCGCCGGTGACCATATGCGATAGAATCGCAACGACCAACAAGAGAACGTGTTGGAACACTGTCGTCTGTGCAAGCGGATGCAGTTGGATCTGACGCAAGCACCGAGTGGCGAGGATCACGAGTGCCTGAAGCACGACCGGCGTCGAGGCAATGGCATCGGCGAGATCCCGTTGCGCGAACGAAGTCGGCGCGTGGAGAATGACTTCCACGAGCGTCAATGTTGCTTCGAGTATCTATCATTCAGGTCATTGGCATACATGGATCGTTTAACATGGGATGCAACTACGTGAATCTCGTGGTCGCGAAGGAGTTGCGAGAGCAGAAGCGGAAGCAAAACACCGGTCACCCACGCTTGCGCCGTCGTCTCGGGATCCTGGTAGTAGAGGCTGCCTACATCGAATATATGTTGGTGTGTTTCGAGTCGACAGGACAAGTTGTACTTAGAGCGTGCACAATTTGTACTCGGCCCTTGAGCGATGCTTTTACGGATGCGGGTCCGATGGTCACGAGCTCAAACCAGAGACTCCAGGTTTTATACATCATTTTCCATTGCGGCAACGACGCTAATGCACATCAGTCACCTGTCAACATATTTCCGACGTGCAATACCATGGAAAGGGACACTGTGAACACGGTAGTACGGGATTGTCTCTGACGCTGCGTCGATATTGTGGTCGACAGCAGCGCAGTAGTGTTGCAGTAAGGCCTGGACCCGTGCGAGTTTTGGTGCCTTTGATTCGCCCAAAACCGCGCTTAGAAGCGGCTCCGAGACGCGCCACAACGACGGTTCCCACCGTGTCGTGTTGCCCGTCGCGACTGCCAAAAGCGTTTGCACGAGGTGGACGACCAGCGTGAGACTTGATGCGTGCTCAATCAGCGGTGGGCTTGCTAGCCATGACTCAAGAACGGCCAGTGTACTCTGCACGGTGGCGATTGCCCGCTGTGTGTCGTGGTCGGTGGTTCGAAGCCGGTGGTAGAGGCCAACGGTTGCGTCGACGAGGTGCTGCAAGCCGTGTTTCTCGACCATCCATTCGAATGCGCACTGGACTTGCCAATTGGACGACGGTTGCCAATTCCGCAGCACCGTGGCAAGCGCCGCCGTCGCGCCGTCGATCGTCCGTCGTAAAGCTCCCACAGCACCGACGCCGACGTCGGCAGCCGTCCGAGAGAGTGGTTGTACAATATCCAGCTCAAAGCGAAGGGACCACTGCACATGGTCCGTCGCCAGCGGCACCAGTGCGTCCGTGTGAGGCAACGTTCTGGCGACGACGGCTGCCAGCGTCGACAACGATGCCGTGGCGTCATTGCTGCAGCTCTTGGCGAGAGTGTTTATCGACTGAATGAAATCGGCGCAGGCGACCGATGGCGATGTCGGTGTTTGCAACTGCCGCAAAAATGCGGCGAGGACGGCTCCGTAGTGCACGGGCGCGTCGCTGCCACCGAGGTCGAGTTGCCAGAATTTGAGCTGGCGGCCGTTCGGCGACACAAGCAGCGCCTGCACGTCCCAGCGCACAAGTGCTGCTTCGTGATGAAAGGCTACGAGGTGGCTCGCATCTACGCCCACATGAAGAAATCTGGGACGAGGAAATGGCGTTGGTACCGAGAAGCTGCTGCACCCACGGACGAAGAAAGCCATGCAATTTGGTGGATGCACCCAGGGGGTAGACCCGAAGGATCTCGGGTAACGGTACCCACGACTCCATCGGTGCACACACCCAGTGAACGACCGTTGTCGGTGCACTGCCGACGGCGCCTTCGTCGTGCGCATTGCCATTCGCAGCATCCATGACGGCATGTGGCAGCAGTGGTAGAAACGCTGACGCGTGCTCGGGTCGTTGCTACAAAAACGTCATCTAAGATCTGGGAGCGATGTATATACGATAAGTACCACAAGCTGTAGTAGGAGTCGTCGCTCTGCCTTGACAGATTCCTATCAACGGGAGCATTAGAGAAAGAAGATCCACTCATGAACGAACGGTGCAACGCATGGCGACGATCGTGACGGGTCGCTTGAGCTTTGTCTGCGGCTCGTACCCGGAGCCAGAGTACGCCCAGCGGTCTCGGCTTTGCAAGCGCGGCAGCGGACATAGAATGTGGCAGTCGACCAGAGCGTGCAGCTTGGCGGGTCGCGTCGCCGGTGCAGCGACACAGGCCGCCGGCGCGTCGTCCAGGAGTGCGATACTATCATGCACACATCGTCGAAGCGCTTGACCGTCATTTCGGAGTTGTCGGCGCACAGATCTCTGACGTAACCAAGCTCGATACGTCTACGCGATGGCCTCGTCAGCACCTCAACGAGATGTATCAGATGCGTCACTGTACATGGAGAATCGACGAAGAGTGCGTTCGATCGTCCGACAGAAGGCGGGTGTACGGCAAGGTATGTACATATTGGCGTTGCTGCAATAGCCACTGGGCGACGATCGTCGGCGTGCACTCGGTGGTCGCCGGATGCAACTGGTTTTTGACAAAGGCGGCAAAGGTTTCAAAGCGGGGCAGCGCGCAGTGGGGGTAGACGACGTGCCACTGCGAGAAGAGACGGTACACTTCCGGCAGCGTCCAATGACGCGCATGGATCTGGCGAAGCAGCATGGCGACGTCGTCTAGCGACGTCATCGGTGTCGTCCGCGTCTCGAGAGCCTCGACCAGATGCGACTGCCAAAACAAAAAGCACGTCGGCGGGCGCATCGATGCCAGTGCACGGTGCAACTGCGTCGTGGGCACCGCGCGACTGCCGTCCGGTGACATGGACGCCCACCAGGCCGACGTCCAGCGCAAGATGGATATAAATGGACCCTCGTCAAACCGCGACGGGTGCCACAGCGCGTGTGACAGACTGTCGTGGATGGACCGGACGCAGACGTCGATCGGCGACAGTTGCAGGTACAAATTTGGCAGCCAAATGCGTCCGACCTCGTGTGCTGCAACCGGCGCCAACTCGGTCTCAGGTACGGGTACTTCGGATGCGATGCGTCGCACCCGGTGGAGCTGTAGGGCAACGTACGTTTCGGCCATCGCCGGCACGGACGCTGGCGTGGCCACGACAGTCGCCCGGTACGGGTATACCCAATGAAGCTTGTCGTTGGCCAAGCGAAGAGCGACGGCGTGCAGCGGCGGCGGCTCGGGTGCGTCGGCTTTGACGGGCTGGCACTTGGTCGTGGGGCCATCGTGCGCCGAGTAGAACATCGCAAGACGCACTTGCAAGTTGTGGGCCTCCAAGAACCGGTCGATTGTCTGCTGCGTCTCGAGAAGCACACGCTTGAGGCCGTATCCATCGAGGACGTCTGTCAGCGTGAGGGCGGACGTCAGTAGCGTCACGTAGCCAATGCGACGAATCTGGCGCTGGCCAAACCACACCTCCGGGGGTATGCGCGACGTCGGTGGAGCGTAATATAGCTCGACGTCAAGAGAGCGTCCTGGACGATGACCGGGATGATGTGTGCCTCAAAGATGTAGAGGACGGCCTTGACAACACCCGGAAACGTCGTGGCGTCGGCCAGAGTATCCGGATCACACACGACAGAGCACGATATCAACGACATCGGTGATGCCCCTAGAGACACGGGAAGCAGCGTAGATACCGGCAACGGCAGTGACCAGATGTGCATCGGCAAACTCGATGGGTTGCGCTGGTCCCAGAGTACGGCGCACGCCGGCGTCTCGTAGGCGGCGACCACGTAGTTTGGGCCGACCGGCGCCAGCGCCGACATGCGACCGACGCCCGATACAGTCCAAAAGTGTTGCACAACAAGTTTGTCGACGTCCCAGAGCTGGACACGCCCGCCTTGGCCCGAAATACAGCTCGATACGGTAGATGCCGGAACCACGGCGTGGTGCATCGGTTGGCTTTTTGAAAAATGAACGTGGTCGACAACACCGAGGACCGCATTCGAGGCCATCGAGAGGACAAACGTCTTGTGCGGCAACGTACTCACAACGACGAGAAGGTTTGCGCCGTCGTTGGTCAGCAATAGTGTCGTGGCAACCCCGCTTGACGACGTTAACATCGGCAAGTCGAGTGTCTGCGACCGCGCGACCGGCTGCGTCGTAAAGAACTGAACGCCACCACGTCCGGGCGAGGTATTGACACCGAGTAGTCGATCGCCAGCGCCCAGCAGCAGCAGCGGCGTCGATGCAAACCGCCCGTGGCGGTGCTTGGTCAATGTGGCAAACTCCTCGTTTGGTTTTCCTGATGCGGGAGACGCAATCGTGGCGGCTGATGCATGGCTCTATCCAGAACCCTTGAGAGAAGCGAGGAAGTTGACGCCGGCGTACCCCGGTCAACGGCCATTCTTGGACGCCGCCGTGGTCGGTAAGCAAGTAAACATGTGTCGGTGTCGCTACCATGTCGATGACAGTCCACGTCGTGCTCATGTGCTCACGCTACGCATCATATGAGACACATTCGCCATGCCCAGTGTCGTACGGGGACGGCATCGACGTTGGCAGCCATCGGAAACAACCGGGGTGTTGCCAGTGCAAACGCTCGCTTGGTGCGAACATAGTACTCGAGCTCACACCACCACTGAGCATGCATCGGCGCGGTCGATGTCAGTGCCGGTGTCGTTGCAAAGGTGCGCAGTCGTTTCCGGTGGTGCGGCTCGAGTGGCAAACTGGCAATGATCTCGACCATACTGGTCGGTGACGAACATACGTCGATCAAGCGCGCAACCGACGCCGAGATGCGGTCGGTCGGCAACACGAGAGCTTGTTCTCGATACGCCGGAGGGAACGGCGGTGATACCGCGTCCAGAAGGTCGGACCACTCGACGTCAGCAGCGCCATCACCCTCCCAGTGCTCAAGCAACGGTGGCAACCACGGCGTGTCGACGATGGCAGCCGAGATCGTACCCCGGGCAACGCTCCCGTCGGACGTGTACAACGCCGGTGTATGCCGAAACCAGCACCATAGCTGTGTGACATCTACCGTGTCTACATGCTCCTGTAGTGTGTGTGCCCCGGTGTCCCAGAGAACGATGCGTCCTGGCAGCACGGCCGTCAATGCGCCTTGGGGCAGTGCCGTGTGGCCCATCGACACTGTGCCATACAACGGTGTCGTTGCCGGCAAAGGCACAACGTTTGCTGTCGTCGCCACGACCGACGACGGAGCATCATTGGTGCCCGACTCCACGACGCGGGTCAGAATCACATCCCATACAGTTGTTTGTAGGTAGACCTAACCCGCCATGAGCGCTGCAGTAGTACATTGCACAGAGTGTACCCAAAGGTCCCAGGATCCGTGGGTGGAAGTTTGTGGCAGTCGAATGAGGCGTGCCGACTCGGTCGGTGCATGCGCGTACTGAAACCCCGACGCGACACGAACAACGATCTCGTTAGTCGTCGACGGCGGTGCCATTGACACCACAGGCCGCTCTTCTACCGTCGAGAGCCCCGTGCCCAGCTGTAGCTTGAAACGATCGGTGACCAACGTCGGTCGCACGTTGCGAAGGACGATCGTCGCATCGCCGGCCATCGTGGCGTGTGCTACGTCCACGGCCTACGTCAATGATTTTCGTCAAGGACACATGACTCATGCGGTCGATTACGGTACGAAGGGGTCGGCGGGGGACGCCGTCGTCGGGCGTTTGCGGGCCTGACTGGGCAGGCGTCGAACGTCACTGGTCGTGGTTCGCGGTCGCGGAGCCGATGTCGGTGTCGGTGTCGATGTCCGCACCGCCGGCGCCGACGTCTTGGCAATGGGTGGCGTCGCTTTGGAAAAACGTCCATTCGGCTTGGATAGTTTCTGAACTTGGGCAAGTAACTGCGCATTTTGCTGCTGCACGCGGTCTTTCTGGACTTGTGCAAACTGCGCCTGCTTCTGGTACGACTGCACGAGCTTCTTGGCCGCCGGGTCTTTGATCCGCGCGACCGCGTCGTCGACAGCAGTCGTCGTGGCAGGTTCGGTCGACGCTGCTGATGTGTCGGCTGCGTGTTCAAGGTACGCAATCATAATGTCGACTTCCAGCAGTCGACCACGGACATCGGCGACCCATCCGGCCGACGAGGCGCCGTCGACAACATACTCCAACGCCCCGCGAGCCGACTCGTGGTAGCCCATCGCGACAAACCATTCGAGGCCGCCGGGAACGCTACCGACGGTGCGCATGAAGCCCGGCGACGACACGGTAATGCGTCGAAACGACGGGTCGTGGGCGTTGGCGACCATGTTTGTCAAGAGATCCCGAAGGGCTTTCGCGACGCCGATCCAAGCAGGGAGCGCGTGTGTGGCGTGCTTGAGTTGATGGTGCAAGAAGCCTCGCGTCGTACCACCGACGTCACTCACCGACGGGTGCGCCATACCTACATCGCAACGCTTTCAAACATGTATCAACTTGATACGTCGATACCCCAAAAGTGGCCAAAGAGCACGGCGCGCATCGTTTGGAGCCGGCCGATCGCAGGCGGTGTCGCGGGCTGGCGACCGCCTTTGGTGCACGAAAGGACAAGATAGTGTATGGTTTTTGTTTCGGCGGCGGCCGTGGCTTTGGCATCCCGAACCGATTTCGCGTGCTCCGAAGCGGTTTCGGGCTGCGTCGCCGGTGCCGGCGTCCGGGCGGCACTTGGTGTAGTGACAGTCACAAGCTCCAAGCCGAGAATGTGCAGAAGCTCCTTGCACGCGTCACTAAACGTCCGAAGCGGCGCGTTAGGTGGCAGCACGGTTCGGTGTTGCCGAGGGTCGGTTGGTGCCGCTAAAACCGCGTCCACAGCACGCAAAACATCGGCAAGAAGACACCGCGCCGACGGAATGCTCAGTGTCATGCGCACCACGCCGACGCTGGCCGAGACAGACTCGCACACGGACAGCCCCCGCTCAATGCGTCTAATTCATTGTCAGACACCTTGTCATCGACGGTATCGCACACATACGATGGAAAGAGCGTGTACGGATGGTCGATCAGTGGCCCAAAGGACGCGACAAACTCATCTTTGGTCACGTGTCCATCCGTATCCAAGTCGAGGAATGAAAATAGCTGCTCGGGTGTGACCACAGATCCCTAGCCGACAACATGTATACAGTCTGTGAGCTAGAAGACAATATGTACCACAAACGGAAGTGGTGTCATCCAGTGCTGCACGTCCAATAGCGTCAAATACCCGCGGTGGGACGCATCCAAACTTTGAAACACCGCGTCGATCATATCGATTTGGATGCTCTGGACATCCGACTTGCCGAAGAGCGTGCGGGTGTTGAGCCCGTACGGGAAATGCTCGCGGTGGCCCGATGTGCTGGCGGCAGGTTGCGAGGTCGATGAGGCCTCGGGTGCGAGCAATGGCGTCTTGGCGACCGTCGCACTGCCTTCGTGCAAGAGAAACTCGATGTCTTGTTTGCGGCGCCACAAGAAACTCTCAACCCGCTCCGACAATGTCGGAAAGGAAAAGTGGGCGAGCGGTGTCGCGTCCGATTCCTTGGTCTTGGCCACGTCCTGGCGCAGCTCATAGATGCAACCCTACACACCGAAACGCAGGTCTCATAGCCATCGATAGGTTCCATATCGCGTACCGCCGAGGCCTCGATGCAATCGAATCCAAGCACTTGCATGAAAGCCACGGCATTCTGTAGACACCCAATTTTGGACGCAAACACCTTGTTGGTGGCGCGGATGCGCCAGTACTTGGCGTCTTTCGGGTGCTTTAGAATGTTGAGGAGATAGATGAGCGCAAGGTCCAACGCGGCGCGGACTTCGGGCACCGAGTGGTGAAACTGGCGGAGGCTTGCCTCGACGACATCGCGAACACTACTGCCGCCCTCGAGTTGGACGAGTTCGTGCTCGATACCATCGAGGGCCTCTTTTAGCAGCGCCAACGTCGAGGCCGAGAGCGCCGATACTCTGGCACCTGTCGGCGACCGGGCGCCTCGGAGTTCGTAGTGGGTTTGGTTGACCAAGACAAAATGAATCGCCTCGAGAAGCGCCGGTGTGTCCCGGAACCGACCTACCTCAATACGGTTTGGAAAGCGTCGGGACGGATCGAAGCGCGTACCAAGTTTTTGTTCAAACGCCGGCGTGTCGCAACGGATGCGCCAGTAGTCGCGGTTATTGGGAAACCGGACTACATTGTATAAGAGTGTTCGACAGACGCTCAGCACCTGCTTGACATCCGCATGGCTCTCACGGAGCCGCAGTCGACTCAGCGCATTCGAAATGCTCGGAATCGCATCCAAACTGTCGACTAAAGAGTGGCCAAGGAGGGCAAATAGCTCCACAAGGGACACGCTCGCGTGGTGTCGAAAGAGTAGTAGTGATGACGCGACGACGTCGGCCGGCACCGACAAACTTTGCAAGAGCGTCTCAACACGGCCAATCGCCAGCTGCTGCCGCTCGTCACAGAGCGCCAGAAACGCGTCGTGGACGCGGTGGATCATATCCACTTGCGCCGGCAATCGCCCGACGCTCAAGCGACGCACCTACAGCAACGCCATGAGACCTCGTTCGAAACTACGAAAAATATCGAAAACTTCGCGAAAAATACGAAAAATACGAAAAATCACGCAAAGTCGCCCAACGGCAAACGAGAACGCACCACTTCGTCCATGTGGCAGTCGTCGCCGTTCGAGTACATGCAGGCAGCGACAAACGCCACGGGACGTAGCTCCATGGCCGCATCGATGCGCTGGGTTTCCGCGACCGCGTCAAGCGACCCATATTGTTGGTAAAACACGCAGCAGGTCTCGGACAAGTCGAGCAAATGATGCGGCAGCAAATGCAACTGCGCCCAGTAGAGCGCAATCGGTTTCTTGGGCACGAGATGACGGCCGACGCTGCCGACGATCGCGGTCGCGGCGTCCACCGTCACCATCGGGACGCCGGCAGTCACGACCGCTTGTTCTTGAAACGCGTGGGTGAGCCGCTCAAAGACGCGAAAGCCGAGTTTGGTCTGCCAGAGCTGCACTTGTCGCTTCTTTTCGTGCTTGCTAGCGAACCGCGTCGCATGAATTGCCTCGAGTTCCATGTGTGTGGCCAATGCGCCCTTGGCGTCGCAGTAGCTGACGTAGGCAAGCGCCGTGACAAAGCCAATAAAGTTGAGCGGCGGAAACCGATTCAAATGCACCGCTACACGGCCCGGATAGTGTAATTTCCGGAGGCTTGTGATCGCCATCTCGGCTTGACGGAGACTGAGGACGCCCGTGCTGTGCTTGTCGAGCTGATCAAACCGAGCGCGCAGTTTGGTGATGTACGCCGAGCCAAAGAGGCACCGAAGCTCCTTCTCCTATCGAGTCGGATCGGCATGACTATCGTGTGATTGTAGAGAATCAAAGGATGAAGAGGTACTGTGATAAGTCCCGTGGCCGTGTCGACGGTCGGGTCGAGTGTCACGGACGCGTCACTGTCATCGCCGCTGCCAACATCGTCGGTGGACGTTGTCCGTGGCGTCTTTTCATCAGCGTCCGAGTCAGCACCGTGCTTGTTTTCATCGGTAGTCGTTCGTGGTGTCGTTTTTTGATCGGTGGCGGCGTCGTCGCTGGCCGAGCCGTCGTTGTCGGACGCCGGTGTGTCGGTCTTGGCCTCGTCTTTGGCTTCGGCAGTCGTCGCGCGACGGGTTTTGGATTTGGATTTTGGGGCCTTTCGAAGCAGTTCGCCTTCCTCGTAGAGCTAGAACCCTCTTATGGAACGGCGTCGTCTCGAATCGCAAGCAAAATGTACCGTGAGAAGCAGCTGCTGGAGATAGAAACGTTCGTCCATTGGAGACAAAGCGGGGGGCGGCGGTTTGTCCTCGTCCGACGACGATGCGAGAACGCTACGCAATGTCGCTTCGGGAGCATTGTCGGCGACCACCCCATCTTGGTAACGGATCTAGACTTCAAGTGAGACCTTCAAAAACGATTGACAAAAGATGGTACCGTGTAGGTGCCGTCGACTTGTTTTGCGACAATTGTTGCGCGCATCCAGAGCTTGGTCTTGCGCTTCCATTGGCTCTCCACCGGTTGACCGCGCTTGTACTTGAACCGGTGGCGCGGACCTACCGGTGGCACTTTCTCGTCTTCGCCCGACGACGACGGCGCGGCGGGGGCAACGGAGAGGGCTTTCCGAGGCACACGCGTCTCGACCGAACCGTCGATCAAGGTGACATCGACCGAGCGATCGGACGCATGGAGTTTGGACACGACGCCTTTGCGACCGTTGCGCAACAGAACCGATGTGCCCTTGGTGATCGCCGTCGCTTCGTCCTCGGACGACGACGACGACGACGATGCCACCGGTGCGTCGACGACATCGGCCGGGTCTCGTCGCGTGTCACCGGACGCGAGCGCCACATCATAGCTGCCGTTGCTGTGAACTTTGGCAATCGTACCGCGGACCGACTTGCCTTTAAGTTGAAGCTGAACCGCGTCGCCTTTATGCCGCACACATTTTCGGACCCGGTTCAGCGCCAACCGCGCCTCGGTGCGGCCGTCGTCGAACGTCACGTCAAGTGTTTCGGATGACGCGTGGACCTTGGTGACGCGTCCAGGTGAAAATGTCTTCTTGCCCGGCGGCTTGGCTTCGACACGGCTGCCGACGGGAAAGGACTTGAGATTGGGTTTGTCACTGTCATTGCCACTGCTCGGGTTGTCGCTCGTATGGGCGCGCACCGTAGCCGCGTCGACCCGCTTGGCCACGTCACCGTTGGCGAGCGAGACGTCGCAGCACCCGTCGCTGTGCACCTTTTGGATGCGCCCACGGACGTACTTGCCGTGGACGCGGACGTCGACGTCGGCGCCGACTGCAAACGATGCCCGGACGCGAATGAGACTCCGATCGACCTTTTTCTCGATTTCGCCGTCGTCGTAGTCGACGTCGTAGCTGCCATTCAGGTGCACCTTGGTGATCGTTCCGGGGTAATACGTCTTGCCCTTGTATTTGGCCTCAACTTTGGTGCCGACTGCGAGCCGCTTGGAATCGCCGTCGTCGTCGTCGTCACTGCCGTCGACCATCGCACGAATCATATCCGACTCGACGCGCGTTTCCGTCTCGCCGTCGTCGTAGCTAATGTCGTAGCTACTGCCGTCGCCGTGGACTTTGGTGATCTTGCCCGGATAAAACTTGGATTTGCCCTTGTACTTGGCCTCCACCTTGGCACCGACCTTGAGTGCCTTGTTAGTTTTCTTGGTTGGGATGACGCGAATGAGGTCCTTCTCGACGCGTTTTCCTTTTCGCCGTCGTCGTAGTCGATGTCGTAGCTGCCGTCGGCGTGGCACCGGGCGATCTTGCCGGGGTAGTACGTCTTGCCCTTATACTTTGCCTCGACCTTGGTGCCAACCTCGAGCTGCGCCCCGTTGTCGCTGCCGGACGCCGATACGGGACGCACCAGATCCTTCTCAACCCGTCGTTCGACTTCGCCGTCGTCGTAGTCGATGTCAAATGTCTCGTCACTGTGGCACCGCGTGATTGTGCCCGGGTAGTACTTTGCTTTACCCTTGTACCGGGCCTCGACCTTGGCGCCGACACGGAAGATGGCCTTCTTCGGACTCTCGGCCTTGCTGCCGCCCTTGATGCGAACAAGTTCGGGTGGTACCTTCTTTTCGATCTCGCCATCGTCGTAGTTGATGTCGTAGCTGCCGTCGGCGTGGGCCTTGGCAATCGTTCCCGGGTAGAACGTTTTGCCCTTGTACTTGGCTTCAACTTTGGTGCCAACGGCCAGGCGTTTGCTGCTGCCGACATCGTCGTCGTCCGAGCCAGCGTCTTTGACACGGATCAGATCCTTCTCGACCCGAGACTCGACTTCGCCGTCGTCATAGTCGATGTCGTAGCTGCCATCGCTGTGGCACTTGGTAATCTTGCCCGGATAGTACTTGGACTTGCCCTTGTAGCGGGCCTCGATCCTGGCGCCAACCTTGAGTCCAATGGGCTTCTTGGGGCTCGAGGATGACGCTTTGACACGAATGAGATCTCGGTCGACGCGTTTTTCCTTCTCGCCGTCGTCGTAGTCGACGTCGAACGTGCCGTCGGCGTGACACCGGGTAATCTTGCCGGGGTAGTAGGTCTTGCCTTTGTATTTCGCCTCGACCGTGGTGCCAACCTCGAGGTCCGTGTCTTCGACCTTGGCGCCAGGTAGTGGTTGGATCCAGTCGGCACGGACGCGGGTCTCGACTTCGCCGTCGTCGTAGTCGATGTCGTAGCTACTGCCGTCGCCGTGTACCTTTGTAATTTTGCCGGGGTAAAACTTGGCCTTGCCCTTGTACTTGGCTTGCACCGTTTGCCCGACCTTGAGCACGGAGCTAACGTCGGCAGCTCGAATCATTGCCTTGTCCACGCGGGTCTCGACCTCGCCGTCGTCGTAGTCGATGTCGTAGGTGCCGTTGGCATGGCTCCGAGCGATCGTGCCGGCGTAGTATTTGGTTTTCCGTTGTAGCGCGCTTCGACCTTGGCGCCGACGCGAAACACGGCAGTCTCTGGCGGCGCCACGAGGCGAATGAGGTCCTTCTCGACACGCTTTTCCTTCTCGCCGTCGTCGTAGTCGATGTCGAACGAGTCGTCCGTGTGCACCTTGGCAATCGTTCCCGGGTAGAACTTGGACTTGCCCTTGTACTTGGCTTCTACCGTGGCACCGACGACCCACCCCGACGTCGACAGCTTCTTGGGGCTGCCGCCCTTGATGCGGATAAAATCTCGGTTGACGCGTTTTCCTTTTCGCCGTCGTCGTAGTCGACGTCAAAGGTGCCGTCGGCGTGGCATCGAGCGATCTTGCCTGGGTAAAAGGTCTTGCCCTTGTATTTTGCTTCCACCTTGGTGCCGACATCCAAGTCGTCGCTTGCGATGGGAGCCTTGCCAGAGTCTTTGACCCGGACAAAATCGGGCGATACCTTCTTTTCGATCTCGCCGTCGTCGTAGTCGATGTCGTAGCTGCCGTCGGCGTGGGCCTTGGCAATCTTGCCCGGGTAGAACGTTTTGCCCTTGTACTTGGCTTCAACTTTGGTGCCGACCGTCAGGCGTTTGCTGCTGCCGACATCGTCGTCGTCCGAGCCAGCGTCTTTGACACGGATCAGATCCTTCTCGACCCGAGACTCGACTTCGCCGTCGTCATAGTCGATGTCGTAGCTGCCGTCGCTGTGGCACTTGGTAATCTTGCCCGGGTAGTACTTGGACTTGCCCTTGTAGCGGGCCTCAATTTTGGCGTCCAACCTTGAGTCCAATGGGCTTTTTGGGGCTCGAGGATGACGCTTTGATGCGAATGAGATCTCGGTCGACGCGTTTTTTCCTCTCGCCGTCGTCGTAGTCGACGTCGAACGTGCCGTC